AAAAAAAAAAAAAAAGGAAAAGAAATATCTCCAATCAGTCTTACTTTTTGTATTTCACTGGCTGTTTTTCCTCCAAAAAAATCCTGGTGAGATTCTGACCCTTTAGTCTGAAGTCCTGTCTCCCATTCTGAAGTAAAACAAAGACACAGATTCAAACATCTGTAGAAATAAACCATAGGCTAAACAATCTTAAAAGAAGACTCAGTTTTATTTTCATTTTAAAATTAGTGAAATGAGAAAGAAAAAAGACTGCATCAGTTTGTTCATGGGAAAAATACAATGAAAAGTGTGTGGGAACACACTTTAGTGGCTTACTAAAAAATAACTTTCTGAAAACCAAATATGATGTGAAACTATCAAAATATTATCCAGGTAACATAATATTATCAAGTAGACACATGAAAAACATGTGGACAACAAGGACACGCCAAAGATAAACCTGTAGAAGAACCAGGTCATTTGTGACATCACAGAAATTTTCAATAGAAGACTGACGGAAGTTGAAGGTATCCCAAAACATCAAAGACGAATGGCTTCAGCCCTGAGACAAAATGTATCTTAAAAATGTTACACATTAAAGTTGCAAAGATGTCATACCTCAGATTGACCAGTGACATGCTTCTCATTCACCAGTGATGTCTGTCACCACACTCACCTTGCAAAATACCCTGCTCCACTGCCCTTAGCTCTTGTTGTTCCAACCAAGCGATCAGCTTAGGTTTCGACAGTTGATATTCTGTCCACAGGAAAAGGTACATTAATAGGAGAGACTCACGCAAGAGATCACAAGGCTTCTGATGAATCCAAAACTATATTTCTTTTTTTTTTAATGGTTTCTTATTTACTTTGAGAGACAGAGAGAGAGAGCACAAGCAGGGGAGGGGAGCAGAGGGAGAGGGAGAGGGAGAGGGAGAGAGAGAATGAATCCCAAGCAGGTTCTGCACCGTCAGCACAGAGCTGGATGTGGGGCTTGAACTCACGAACCATGAGATCACAACCTGAGCCAAAATCAAGAGTTGGACATTTAACCAACTGAGTCACCCGGATGCCGCTAAAACTCTTATTTCTAATGAAGGCAGTGAAATTATTCCAAAGGACCAAAAAGGCAAATGCTCCCTTTCTGTGACAAAAAATCATTATCTCTGACCCCTGAAAGCCAAAACAAACGTACATATATATTTAAAAAGCATAAGACATTTATTCAAATAGGAAATAAAGAAGGGGCACCTGGGTGGCTCAGTCGATTAAGCATCCGACTTTGCCTCAGGTCAAATCACAGTCTCGTGGTTTGTGAGTTCGAGCCCTGCATCAGGCTCTGCACTGTCAAAGCCTAGGATTCTCTCCCTGTCCCCCCCACCCCCCTAACTCTTTCCCTACCTTTCTCTCTTCCCTCCCCCTACTCTCTCTCTCAAAATAAATAAATAAACATAAAAAAAAAAAAGGAAATAAAGGAGATAAGGAAAGGAGATCTTCCTTTTCTGATGGGGAAATCACTAGAGCAGTGGTCTCAAACGTTGGAGCGCATCACAATCGTCAGGATAGCTTACTGAACATAGAAGATGGGGCAACAACCCCAGCTTTATAATTCAGAATGTCAAAAATGGAGTCTGAGAATATAAATTCTTAGCAGAGCGATGGTGTTACTGTGGGCCCTACGGCCACATTTCCAGAATACCCACTGCAGATTACAGCCCATTAGTGCAGGGACTATGCATCTCCTATTTCCAATTCTGTTTCAGATTAGGTATCACCAAGCCTGGAAACACATTAAGTACATGATCCATATCAGGAATGGTGGCAGCCTTACTTACCTACTGTGACCAGGTTCTGGTAGTTCTCTAGCATCACGTTTCTGTATAGGTTTCTCTGAGAGAGGTCCAGTAATATCCACTCCTCCTGAGTGAAGTCCAATGCCACGTCGTCAAAGGTCACTGAAATCTAAATCATCACACCGGGGTTGGCCTAAGAAACATCCCCACCAACGTTCACCAAAAAACCCCAAAGGAACACGTTTTTTCAGGATGGGAGACTCAATACCGATGCAGGGTTAGGAGATTTCTCATTATCATTTCATGGTTCTGTGGTCCTAGGTACTCTTCTCTCGATCTAGACTCACTCACTGCTCCTCTCCACTCATATGGTTTTAATGTCACATTTTAAACATGAGTTTATCTCAGCATAACCAGAGTAGGTGCTCTCTTCTTATTTCCCTCTATTGCAATAGACTTCTGAGCACGCTACAGATTCTCGATAAACAGCATAAAATGACTGAATTCTTTAAGAAAAGGACACTTACATCTTACCATGTCAGAGCACACAGCAAGGCGGAAGCCTGCACTTGAAATCCTTGAGCTTCAGGATTGATTACTGAAATACTGAGACTATTTTTCACTGTAATCCCTTTTCAATGAATTTCCACTTCCAGGGAAGCTTCAATTCGGGACTCAGTCCTTGCATGGGGCTTTATTTGCTTTAGGAAGCTCAGGACATAGATGTGCCTAGAAGGAATGTGTCCACCTGGTAGATGTAAATACGGCATTCTGTTGATTGATGTGATTATTTCTTACCTGATGATAATTTTTCAGCCAGACAGTCACCATCCTTTCTGCCTCTGTGTTTTCCTCATGAAGGGGAAAATGATCTCTAGAAAGATCTCAGGGAAAAAATAACACTTAGGTTCTTAGAATGCAACACAAGCATATCTCCCAGAATCACCCACCTGAAAGTCATTCCATCCTATTCTGAGAGTCCCGTATATCCCTACACACTCAAGAAATCTCATGCAAATACACACTATTGCCATAAAATACCAGAGTAGCCCAGCCACACCTGAAGCCACAAAAAGAATGTGCCAGACACACTGCCCATGTAGAAAGGGGCCACAGTCTTATTTTACAGGTATGGAAACCCAATCCCTGGGAAATCTGATTATTTGCCCAAGATAACAGAACTCATCAATGGGATTATGCAGCACCAACTCCCAAAGCACACACACCAGGAAGCTGACTTAGAGAACAGCATTCTCTGGCAAATTTTAGTTCTAATGAACCAGCAGCCTAACTGCTTAGGCCCAGATCCCTGGACCCTATACTGTATAGGGGTTACATTTAAGAATCCTCTGAAAATGAGAATCAACAATGACTTACCATGGGTCAAATCAATGGCTGCCATCCTGGGACACTGATGGTGAAATCTGCCTGATGCGAAATCTGATGCCAAGATCACTTCAGTGCAACTTAAGAATCTAAGTAAATATGGCAATTTTCATTACTCTTGACACAGGGTTAACTGGAGTTTTTCCACATCAATCATTAATCAGCAAGCATTACTAATCCATCAATCAAACATCATACATTACCTCTCTCTCTGCAGATGATATACGTGAGATTCACTAAAAATGGTATAATCTATGGTATAAAAGTCAATAACATCGATTACAATTTCCTGAGGATATGTGACACATTTTCTCACTAGGAGCTCTATGTATATCAGCTCACTTGATTATCATAACAATTCTCTACAATAGGTATCATTAGCCCTACTTAATAGCTGATAAAATTAGAGAGATAGAACACTAATCATTTGTCCAACACCTTCCAATTAGTAAAAAAGAGATCCACAATTTAATGTAGATAGGCTTGTCTCTAATGTTTGATCTCCTGAGGTTCTTATTCCCAAATAATAATCAGACATCATTTTAGACTTGCATTGTCCATTTTGGTAGCCAGCAGCTACATATGCTATTGAGTATTTGATAGGCAGTTAGTAAAACAGGATTTTAAGTTTTATTTATTTTTATATTTTAAATGTAAAACTCATTTGCAGATTCACTTATTAGAGAACTTAAATATGGTTGGGTAAACTTACATCTACTTTCTCCACTGTATTTATTACATGATTCAAACACATATCAAGTACATGTCACAAAAATTTTATGTCCAATGAATTCTGACTACTTGGTATGACGAAAATAATTTAAAATCAATTTTTATATGGGTTACATGCTGAAATATTTTGAATAGATGGGATAAAGTGTATCTCCTTTTTTTTTTTATTACAGGTATAGGAAAGCTTTGTTCATATGCATGACCTACACATTTGTATTTCCATTGGACAGCACTGGCCTAGAATACTGCTGGATAGTACACAGAGGATAAAAATGAAGTGTTCTATTTGGTTAACACCCTTGGGCTTCATTTGATGGAGCTTAGAGTGGCTTGGAGCCCTGAACCTCCTTTTAAGTTATCATAATAGGCTTATTCCTTCATTCTTTCCACAAATAATTAAGAAATTGTGGTCTTGTGCTAGGCACTAAGTAGAAAACAGTGATATATACAGCAAATGTCCCAGGGCTTAATGGCCCAACATTCCAAAGAGACAACATACTCAATTATAAATGGATTCATCCAATCATTGTTGCAAAAATTCAAACAAGTGAGAAAATCGAGTATCCTATATACAAACACAAATGTATACACGAATATTTTGGATTTCTTTTGGGCAAGGTAAGGACAAACAAGGCAAGTAACCATAAGCTATTCTAAATAACCCAAAAAGATAAGAAAAATAATGGTGGAAAGGTTTTATAAAACTCAGAAGACATTACAAGTATTCAACAGCCTCAGTGGATCCTAATTGAGGCTCAGTTCAATTAAGGTTTATGGACTTCCTCTCACCCCGGCAAAGGAGCAATGCCAAATCAGACAGCTTCACACTGGTCTATTTAGAAGTCTTCCTGGGGCGCCTGGGTGGCGCAGTCGGTTAAGCGTCCG